GCATTTTTTGGTAATTTTTGATGTGGTAACCATGGTTTTCACACAAGTGACATACATAGAAAAAAGAGGTTTATACACTTCTCAGTACTTTATATGTATTGTAAATGTAATGCAGTTTACAAATATATATACATGTATACATGTGTTGTGTAGGGTAAATCCGCTGTGTTTACATTTCCTCGACATGTGCCTTGTTTATCAGTCGGGCCATTTCTACTGTATTCTGCTACCACAGCAATATGGCATTTTGAGATATATGGATCTTTTCCCAATGTTTGAGCATGCTGTATAGGTGCAAACAGGATTTATACAAAGTATTAAAGTATATAAAACTGTTCTCATCAGCAGTTATATAACGAGTGACTGATAATAGTGTCCAGGTAAGTTATCATCTTTATACCGTTGTGACATTGAAAAATTTGATGTTATGGATAAAAGTTCATCAGTCAAACAGGATCAACATCACTAGATTCGGCCATACAAACAAGATTACGGAGGGTTTTTGGCACCAACTTTGATCCATATAAATTAAGGGACCACAAGACTGGATTTTAGTAGGAGACTGTCCCATCCTAAGTGGTACCCATATACACAATTTGTCAATTCTAGGCGACAGGATATTTGAGATAGGCTCGGGCAAAGGTACGTGTAGTGAATGAACAAAGGGCTATAACCAAAACACAAAATCACCAAGAAACATAAGAAATATATAATTTCGTCACACCGTTGTACAGGTTAACAATACAAATCACTCACTCAGTCATAGTTCGACAAAGGGAACAGTTGGTTTTGAAATATTTCCAAGTTTAATGCATACATTGCCTGTGTATAAAGTTAACCATTGATATTACATGTTTCCAAACTGTTGAAACTTGAAGATACAAAACCAGCGAAACAATCAACCACCCACATACACAATGTTTAGGTGACAGCTGGGATTAGAGATAATCGTGATAAACAGATTGATAGTTAGACAGAGTGTTAATCTTAGTCCCCTGAATCAGAGAATAAATCTGCTATTCAACTTCAATTTAAACGACATCTTAAAACAAGGGATCCCAGAGAGATCTTAGCGCCCACCGTTGTACCATCTTCATTGGTTTTATGTCAGTTTTGAGATTTTCTCTCCTTTTTTCTTATCTGTTTGATCAAGTCATGTAAACAGTAAATGCACCGTTTCATGTATTTACTAGTACAGTTCTTTCAAAAGTAAACATGCATAACTACAGACTAAGGATAACCAATAGATCAAATTCAGAACTTCCAGGGGAATAGCGACAACAGGCATTCACTGTCAAAATCCAAGATGGCTATTTTGTTCATACACAACTTTAGACCAAGGGGAACCCTCTTATCAAATTTGAGAAAGATATTTCTGAGGAATAGCTATAATAAGAATTGATTAAGGACGGACGATTGACAACGTACCACAGACGAAGAGTGATGTGAATAGCCCACATTCAGATGATGGTGGGCTAAAAACGAGATCCAAAAGGGATCTTGATATCGGTTTGATCTTTTCTCTTTTTTTCCTTTCTTATCTGTTTGATCGAGTCATGAAAACAGTAAATGCACCTTGAGGTAATTTTTGAACAAAACATTATACTGATGTGTATAAAAAACAACCTTCAAAGTGAGTTTGTCGTTTCACTTATTTACTAGTACAGTGCTTAATGTGAAAGAAATAGAACTGGTCATTAAAATATGAGATCTGTAAAGTGCTTCCTGGGAAATAGTGATAATATTCTTGAAATGTCAAAATGCAAGATGACTGCCTGCTGCCATCTTGTTTTTTAAAATCCGTCTCAAAATAATACATGCACAATTATTGACCAATGGGACCCTTCAAATGATATTTGAGAAATACCTGTCAGGCACTTTTTGAGAAACGGTGATAACAAACTTTTCTAAAGATGATGGCCATATGAAATATGCACAAGTAGGGACCAAGAGAAACCTGAGAAATTTCAATAACAAACTTTTACTTTCAAAACCTAGCATGGCTGCCTGTCAACAATTTTGTTTATTTCATCAGTTCCTAAGATCAAATTTATCTACACTCCAAATTTGAGAAAGATCCATCCAGTACTTAATAAGTAATAGCAATACAAACTTGAACTGTCAGAATCCAAGATGGTCGTCATTCGGCCATTATTTTCATATGATCAGTCTCAAAAGTAAGCATGCACAACTACAGATCAAGGGGAAGTTGGAACCTATGTTTCAAATTGCAGATCAAGTTCTTTCTGAGCAATGGCAATAACAAACCTGAACTGTCAAAATTCAAGATGGCCATCTGTCTGCCATTTTGTTTCAAAAGGTACCCTGCACAGAAAAGGACCAAGGGGAAATTACGTTAGAGAAATAGTGAAAACAATCCTTCACTGTCAAAATCCAAGAAGGCCGCCTTTTGACCATTTTGCTTATCTGATCAGTCTTAAAAGTAATTGTGCACAACTACAAACTGATGGAAACTTACATCTGAAATTTGAGAAAGACCATTCCAGTATTTCCTGAGAAATAGTTACAACAAACTTTTACTGTCAAAATTAAAGATGGCCACGTAATGGCCATTTTGTTCTTCCCATCAGTCACAAAAGAAAATATGCACAACAAGGGACCAAGGGCAACTTGCATATGAAATTTGAGAAAGATCTCTCCAGTTCTTTCTGAAAAATAACGATAACAACAATTGTTTAAGGACAGATGACAGACCATCTGATGATGGAGTTCTAAAAATAACTTGAATCAGTAGTTATAAAAAATATTGTTTATTTAAATTTTTTGAAAAATATTATACTTCATGAAACACCACCTGCAATCATGCCCTATTCAAACATTAATCTTTTATTGTAAACATTTTCAGCAATTAAATATTACAAATTATACCTTGAGCCACAGCTACATTTTGTTCGCAGAGTTTGAGAAAATGAACGGGCGATTGAAAGGTACTTAAAACAAATTGAAATGTTATGTAGGGATTCCTCATCCAAATTTTCAAACATGGTAAAGATATTTGGTTTCAAATAATATTGAAAACCTGATATTTGCAACCAATAGTTGGAAAAAGTGCAAACAAAGGAAATCAACTCCTTCACCGATTTGTTCGAGTCTTATCAATGAAACCTACAGAAGGGTGTTTGTTTATGCAAATCTGCTATGTGTACCATCCAGCAATAAGCCCATACCTGGTAATAAGCCCACCCATAACAAAGAAATGCAAACAACTACTATTACATAGACATGTAATAAGTTACTGATTTTGTGTTGGCCCTCTGGACTTATTTTGTAGGAAATATAGAGTAATTTTTCAATGTAATATTTCAGGAATAAAGTTCGTTCAACTTTCATAAAAATTGAATTCTGTTCCAATCCATGCTTGAACAGCTTAAAATGCTGTAAATGAAAACAGACCAATTTTGACTTGAACATATTTTTCTCTTTCATATCTATCACCTGATAAACTAGTTGGTAACAAAGTGAAACTACTTCATAATTAAGATAATTAAAAAATCTGACAACTGAATGTCCACAGAACAAGATTCTTGATTTTAATGACTTTTCAGCTATGATGCCTCCTCACCATAGTTCAGTTGACATATTTTTGGGATTTTTTTCCGATGAAAGTTTCGCCCATGTTTTCATATATCTTTTCTATTGGTTTTCAGAGCATGTAGCACTATCCCTGTTGCCACAGAAACATTTATACTGCCAATGATCGGTTGTCCATCAGACGAAAAGTCCTTTAACTTAACCACTTGATCACAATGTTCCAGAATATTCGTCTTTAATCCATGATGCTCGTTACCTGAAATATAACGGAAAAATGAGCTTGTATGGACATTATAAACTGGTCATCAATACATTACGAGTTTCCAGGACAAAAATCAAAATATTCTGGTGGTCATGTGGTATATTAATCCAACTTCGACAAAGTGTAAAATCGTTAAATTTGGACGAAAATGGCTGAATTTTTCATATCCTTCATGAAAGGGATATCTACTGACTTGTACTCGTCTGATATATACAGACAGAAGTCGTACACCACTGTTTTAGCATATTGTTGTAACAGTTGACAGATTATTGGTGTTTAAAGGAAGTGCACATTCCTCGATCACGCACCCATCACACGACATTCATCTAAGACCCTGTCAAATCCAGACAAAAGAAGAATTTTGAAAACGACACATTAAAAGGAAATTTCAAACAAAACAAAAAAAGTTCTGTTTGATGACAGTGCCATTGATTCTGACTAGAATACTGATTGTAACAATGATTAAGATTGATGATCAACATCCTAATTATAAACGATTCAGTTTTGGTATTGACCTTTGTATGGTACTTGATACATTTGACATGTAGTCAAAATGCTTATATTTGCAGTTTCATCATACAACAATATTCAACGATTTTACAGTTTAATAGTGCAGGGCCTGTATTCATGCATCCTCAATACTCCAGGGGTTACCCCCACTTTCGCTCTCTGCAACCCTGGAATATTTCGTGGCAAAATTGAAGGCACTAAGAAAGCTGTTTGATTGCTCTCGAGGAAAACCCCCTGACCGATCGCCTAGCTGATACATATACATTGAAGATACAAAGGAGCGACACCTGACTGTAAAGCCTGTCAATGTTCACCGTAACGTGACCGAGAGATTCTTTTGGTGAATATCAAAGAATCGAAACAGTCTTCTTGTGTCATCAACAAGCAAACAAAATTGTGTACACCGAGCCTTCAATTTTGCTATTCCATATTCCAGGGCTGCAGAGGCTGAAAGTGAGCATAACCCCTGGAGTGTCGAGGATGGTGTTCACGAAACCATGAAATTATGAGAAAGATCAAAAAGTAAAGTCCAACAGTATTTCAGTTCCTATGATCATTATAAAATGTGGAAATTTATCATACGGACAAAGAACTGGACACAATCTGGGATTAAAAATAGAATTGTTTCACGACAATGAGCCCTGACAATCATTGCATGAATTTTGATTCCTTGCTGCGACTATGGAACACTACCTCTGACAAAGGGTTTATACAAAACTCACCAACAAGAAGTAGTGTTGGCACGTTAACCGCACAGTCGGTCAAAGCCACAGTGTCCGGTCCCGTCGCTGTGCCAATTATCTGTCCTATGTTGGCCTTCCAGTCCTACAAAAAGAGTTCAGATTTTTTTTAAAGAAAAGAAACAACTATTGTACAGCATTTTTGATTATTTCACATGCAAAGGTATCATGTAAGCAAATGCAGGGAATTAAAGTAGAACTATCATTATGCACTAACATTACACTACAATACCATAAAACCATAACAAAATTGTATCATGCATTCCATAATATCTGTTGCAGAAATGCCAATTTTTTTTTCTTCTATTAAAGCAATACATCAATGGGCCTGCATCGCTCACCTGGTATTAAGCTTACACTCGTAACCTGGCCTGCATCGCTCACCTGGTATTAAGCTTACACTCGTAACCTGGCCTGCATCGCTCACCTGGTATTCATCTTATTCTCGTAACCTGGCCTGCATCGCTCACCTGGTATTAATCTTACACTCGTAACCTGGCCTGCATCGCTCACCTGGTATTAATATTACACTCATAACCTAGCCTGCATCGCTCACCTGGTATTAATTTTACACTCGTAACCTAGCCTGCATCGCTCACCTGGTATTAATCTTACTCTCGTAAACTGGCCTGCATCGCTCACCTAGTATTAATCTTACGCTCGTAACCTGGCCTGCATCGGTCACCTGGTATTAATCTTACACTCGCAACCTGGCCTGCATCGCTCACTTGGTATTAATATTACACTCATACCCTAGCCTGCATCGCTCACCTGGCATTCATCTTATTCTCGTAACCTGGCCTGCATCACTCACCTGGTATTAATCTTACACGCGTAACCTGGCCTGCATCGCTGACACTGTATTAATCTTACACTCGTATCCTGGCCTGCATCGCTCACCTAGTATTAATCTTACGCTCGTAACCTGGCCTGCATCGCTCACCTGGTATTAATCTTACACTCGTAACCTTTAAAGTGATCTAAAATAAAGCTACAGACAAAATATCAGTATTTATGACTACAAGTTATTCAAAAGAACCTGTTAAGAGATTTTTAAACATTTGACCCCTGTGACCTTGAAAGTCGAATAAACCCTAGACCCTCTGATTATTGAGATAAGGTCATTTAAAGGTTTATACATATTTTACCAAATGTGACCTTGAAAGTGGGTCAAGATAATTAATTCGACCAAACTTGATAGTCCTTCACTCTATCATGCTACAGGCCAAATAACAGGATCCTTGGTCTTTCGGTTGTGGAGAAGTCGTTCATGTTACTGGCTAAATACCATCACCCTAGACCTCTTGGTTATTCAGAAAAAGTTGTTTAACGGTTTTTAATACATTTGACCCCTGTGACCTTGAATATAACTCAAGGTCATTCATTTGAACAAACTTGGTAGCCCTTCATCCCAGCATGCTTCTGGCCAAACATCATCATCCTAGGCCTTTTGGTTACTGAGAAGAAGTTGTTTGAAGTAAAAAGTTAAAGCCGGACGGACGCCGGATCATGGCATAAGCTCACTTGCCCTTTGCGCAGGTGAGCTAATAATCACCATGGGCCTCTTTGTTATTCAGAAAATGTTGTTTAAAGGTTTTAAACATAGTTGACCCATGTGACCTTGAATATAAGGCAAGGTCATTCATTTAAACAAACTTGGTAGCCCTTCATCCCTGCTTGTTACTGGCCAAATATCATCACCCTAGGCCTCTTGGTTATTCAGAAGAAGTCGTTTAAAGACTTTAACATATTTGACCTTGAAAATAGATGAAGGTTATTTATTTGAACAAACTTGGTAGCCCTTCATTCAAGTTGTTTAAAGTAGCAAGAGGCCCATGGGCCTTAACGGTCACCTGATATATTTATACAGAGAGTTGATTTCGNTAGTCAATTCGACCCTTTTTGGCCCCATCCATCAGCCCCTGGAGGTCAGACAGGGCTCATAGGTGCATACTATCAAACTGTTACCTAATACTGATAATGCTGACCCAAATTGAATTACTTCCAATGGAAATTAAACAAATGTTGGTCCAAAATGTGATTTCCCTATATAAACTGTAGTAAAGTTTACCCCCTCCCCAGGGGGAAACGTGGGACCCCAGGGTCAAGAAATTCATAATTTCGGTAAAGCACCTTAAGACCCTTCCATCTATGAAGAGTATTTGATTCTACCATATCTGGGTCTTGAGAAGAAAATTTTTAAAATTCTTGTCAATTCGACCCTTTTTGGCCCCACCCATGAGCCCCTGGGGGTCAGTCAGGGCTCATAGGTGCATACTATCAAACTGCTACCTAATACTGATAATGCTAACCCAAATTGAATTACTTCCAATGGAAATTAAACAAATGTTGGTCCAAAATGTGATTTCCCTATATAAACTATAGTAAAGTTTACCCCCTCCCCAGGGGGAAACGTGAGACCCCAGGGTCAAGAAATTCACAATTT